GGTTTGTTGACCTCGTTCTGACCCCCCTCATCTTGTCACCAGGCAGATCTTGATCTGTGAAATTCTAAGAACAACATCCTGACCTTTCAATGCCCTAAGCACATAGGCAGTTTTAGGGACAGCACCTCTGGCTCATGTCTCATCTACCCTTGTGACAGGCAGCGTTGCTATGCAACCTGGCCTTGTTCCTGTTTGTGGTTTCCTGTCTGATTACTAACAGCCTACATATGTTCTGTTATTGCCAGCTCCAAGTCTCCTGCACTCTTAAAGACAAATTAAATGGTTAACTGAAAGGCAATTATAAAGCATATGATGCTAAAATAAACATGTAGATATAGTTGCTAATGCAGATTATAATATTGATTATAGAAGGCTAAGCATTTCCTATACTATTGATAAATGTCTACATTAGCTGACAATATAGCAGTAAATTATACCTCGCCAAGTTAGCCTAAGTTAGCACTTGGCTACACCACTATACTTGTTCCTTGCGTTGTTGTAGGTGTCTAGCTTATTTAACAGTTTGCCACGTCCAAAGTATACGATATTGTTTGAAAATTCTTTGTTTCCTATGCATGTATGTGTGTATGTATTAAAGCATTTTTAATTCAACGTTACAGGAAGCTGTAAGGTACCTCCATAATTCGGATAACAACCCACATAAATATGATCCACAAACTGGGTAAGAATACTGTTTTTTTTTGTTGTTTTTTTTACATGCTATGTATGAGGTTTTATGTAATCATTTTACATGTAATTATTGACACTACTCTCTTTCCACACAGAATAAGTTCACCTCATAATCAGGCAGTGATTACATATCTGCTGGAGGAATTGAAGACAACCTATGCAGATGCAGACCCTGAGTGTATAAAGGGTAATTAGAAATTGTTATTGAAATTATTTTCATGTCCCTTTATTGTTGTTCCTCTAATAATTTGAATTGTTTTTGTCACTTATCTGAATTATTTTTCTATTCAGCCTGTTGCAGGACTTACTATGAGACATTGCGGAGTAAATACTCTTTGTCTCAGCCAGGAAAGTCCCAGCTAAGAGACTGCATTAAGGTCAGGGCTAAAAACCAACAAAGGAAAAGACGAGTAAGTGTAGAAATTCATCTATGTATTAAGCTCGATACATCTCTGGGTGTTTTTAGGGGTTAATGTATGGTGTGTTTTGCAGTTGCTGGAGTCCAAGTCTAGGGTCATCCAAACAGATGAAGAGAGAGAACTGTGGCAGACTACAATGCTGGAACTGATGTCCAATGAGGAGGATACCATTGTTAATGGAAGACGTGAGGTCTCCGCCTCACAGGAGCCCACAATTGTTGGAGCTTTGCCAGTGGCTGCAGTGCAGACTGGAGGCGGATATGCGCTACACTCTTACACAAGAGTTGATGAAACTGAGCCAGAAGGACATTCACTTTTGGACCTCTAACAAGCACTGGTGCATGTGTTTGTTTTAGTATTGCTTTTAATTTAATTGCACATTCCTTCATTTTTTTTCCATATTTTTTGTTTTTCCTTATTCTTACTTTGTATATTAGAGTTTGGTTTAATTTTAATAAAAACATTTCTGAATCAATTTCATTCTCATTTTTTAAAGGGTGCGGGGGTTGTATGTTACAGTGGGG